CTCGCGGGCACGCTGAAAGGTTCCGGCTCTAGCTCGTCGGCTTGGGGGGTGGTGGTCTTGCTGGGACAGGTCCTTCCGAAGTTGCAACGTCGGATAATAGTAATTAGGCATGTAAGAAAGGTTGCGTGCTGCGACTGAGAGAGGTATTTAATCTCCGCTAGAGATCTAAGCCGGTATTCACGATCGTAAGATTCGAAAAGAAAAATTGGAAACAGGACAGATTTGAGATTCGAGAGATTCCAGGAAGGATCCTGCTGTTGGTGTGTCCTTTTCTCCAAATTCCCCAACCCTACCATGGCCACTGCAAAAGAGTGTTACTCTCGTGGCCCCTTTTCCCCTCTTACACCTGAGGACTCATTGGCGAAGTTCTTCAGTTAAGTTTAAAGTAACATTTTATTTATCATAATCTCATTTAAATTTCTTATTCAACATAGTTATTTTTACAAAGTATCCTTTCCTAAAGTATCGTAGTATTTTCCTATCAATTTTACAAAGTATTCTTTCCTAAAGTAAGTATTTATCCTATTAATTTTACAAAGTATTGAAGAAAATTACCAATCCTAAGAAAAATTTCTTATTTATTTATTTAGATAGTGTAATTATTAATATTGAATTTTTTCTAATAATGTATTTGTATTTTTGTAATATACTAAATTCCTACATAATTTTTTTGTAATAAATTTAGACTGTACGGTTGTTTATCGTTTAGGGAAATTAATGTGTTCAAAAAAATTTTTCAGTGTGGTTTGTTATCTAAAGTTGGGCGTACAGTGGGAAAAATAAAAGGAAAACTAAACATAAAAATTCGTAATAAATTGACTTCATATTATGGCGGTTAAATTTCAATATCTTCTTCTTTCTTTAATGTCAATGGAAAATTTCTGACTTACGATTCTCCTCGGCGAAAAGGTCGACCTCTTGGCGTTGGTGGCTGTAGGCGGGTATTAGATGTTATGTTTCAAATTATTGAGAAATTTTCCATTTTTTTTTTTTTTTTTTTTTTTGTATTGCATCAAATTATAAAATTTTAAATTTCATTTATCTTTTCATTTCTTTTCATTTATTTTTATTTATTTATTTTTTTTTTTTTGTTAAAAAAAATTCAGATCAATACCACTGTACTTTCTTTTGTATTTCACTCCAACCAACAAAAAGGAAAAAAAATCGAACTGCACTTATTGCTTTTGCTCTCCTTTTCCGTCACTCATATTCTTCCAATTATTCTTTCTTCTTCTTCTTTTCCCGTTAGGGCACTTAACATCCAAAAAAAATAATAAAAAAAATATATGCTAACAATAAATTCACTAAAAATTAATGATGGCTTAAAATTTTTATTTAAATTATTTTGCTTAAATTTTTCTAAAAATTTTCTTTTTCATTAAACTTAATATTTCTTCATTTTATTTCTTTTCACTAACACTAGCGTCAACTTAAACTCAATTAACTGTTTCTTAATTCACTCTTTTCCTTTTCATATTTCCTCTATTAATAATTTTTCTCTTTTCAAACTTAAACTTTTTCCTATTCCATGATCTTGGTTTTTTCTTTTTTTTTTGTTCACCACGAGGTCTCTTTCACATTTTTTTCCCGCTTTTTGTCCACTAAGTTTTGTTCGTTTTCATTCTTTTCTCTGCTTCTCCTTCTCCGCTGATCACGTGGTGGATTTTTCCTCCTTCTTGGTCCGAGCTTCTCCTTCTGCGCTGATCACGTGGTGGATTTTTCCTCCTTCTTGGTCCGAGCTTCTCCTTCGGTTTTTTCCTCTCCTCTCCGTCGTTCCTCCTTTTCTCGCTGGTCCGGCGGTCCCACGTGGATTTCTCTCTCTCTCTCTCTCTCCCGCTCTTTACGTGCGGGACTCCGGGTAGATTTTCCGTGGCGAGGCCCGCTTTCCCAAGGGGTTTTTTTCCCCGAGAGGATCTCTTCAGGGTTGCGGGAAAACGTGGGCCCCGTGCGTCCGGGTTCTCGTGCTCCTGGCCAAATTTGCAGAGTGGTCGGGATCGGATTAACGGGTTTAGGCGCTCTGGTCCGGCGCCGCGTGACCGCGTGTTCCTGAGCCACTTTTGTGGCTGCTGCAGGTTAGCCACTTTAACTCCGAAGATTCCGCGGTTCCGTTTGGCAGTTACCTTTACAGTTTCGGCTTTTCCGAGCCCGATGCCGCGATTGTGCGACCGCGTGCCAAAATTAACCCGCGTGGAAAACGGTCTCAGAAAAAAAAGGAAGGGTTTTAATTTCGGCTCTTTTTGCACGTCCGACTTGTTGCGAGTTACGAATTGAAAAGACCGGCTGCCTTCTCCCACGCCATTTCTAACCCTCTCTTAGAGTGACCAGTCCCGATCAATTCGCGATCAGCTGGCCGATGATTCGCCTACGTGGCATCTCTAGATAAATGGGATATTTTTGCTTATTTATCGACGGTTACATTTCAAATTCGACTCTTTGTTTGCTTTAAGTATAGGTCGCTTCAGGCGCCGTTACAAACTCCCCCTCCCACAATCAGACTAGGGTATTCCCTAGTCTGATACCGCCTGAAGGGACGCTATTGACGGATATCCTTGGCATGGTAGACTCCTATCCTTTGGCCTTGCAAATCCTCTAGCTCGTAGTAGGACTTACCGATCTTCTTCCTTACGCGTGCTTTGATAAACGCCGGACCTAACTTTGCGTTGAACCCTGTTTTGAAACAGCTTTGTTTAAAGTTGCGACGAAAGACTTCCTGCCCTTCGCTGAAAGTTACTACTCGTGAGCGCAAATTGTAACGATTTTCGTTGCGCTCGTGCGCCTTCTGCATCTGTTTGGTGGCTTCTTCTCGGATTAACTCGAACGAATCCTGTCGGTTATACATCACAGACCGATCGTCTAGCATGTTTAGCTTCCTCAACAGGGAATACGTATTGCCGGAAGTCACCATCTGTTGGCCGAATGCCATATAATATGGGGTGGTTCCAATACTAGAATGAATGGAAGAGCGCAGTGCACAGCAAATTTTGCTCAAACCCTCATCCCAGTTCCTTTGATCGGGACATACGTAAGCCCTTATTCCCACGATGATGGATCGATTCACTCGCTCAGAGGCGTTGGCTTGGGGCGAATGAACGGCTGTTAAGGTGTGAGAAATTCCGAATTGGCGAAGGAGTTTCTGGAACGCCATCGATCGGAATTGGGAACCGTTGTCCGACACAATAGTTTCGGGGACGCCAAAGGTCATAAAGAGTTCATGTTCTAAATATTTAATCACGATGTCTGCATTTATCTTTTTCACGGGTTTTAGGAAGACGAATTTAGAAAAATGATCTAAGACGATAAATATCCCGATGTTTCCACTTCTCGAGCGGGGATACGGACCCAGAAAATCGATGAAAAGTCGCTGAAAGAATCTTGTGGTTTCAACAGCTTTTCCTAGTGGTGGCCTCATCACATGGTTGGGAGCTTTAATCGCTTTGCACGTCTCGCAGGCATTGATATAGGCTTTTACATCGGATACTAAATGAGGCCAGAAGTAATATCTTCTCAACCGCTCCAACGTCTTATGAATTCCGCAGTGGGAAGCTAGCGGACTGTCATGTGCTTGGGAAAGAACTTCTGGTATAATTTCTCGAGGAATCCACAGCTTCCAGGCGTAGGTATCGTGCACCTGTTCTCCCGTCAGATGACACATCTTTCTATACACGAAACCATCTTCTACCTTAAGATCTGGAAAGTTTATTTTGTTCGTGGACACTACTCTGGCTACAAGATCCTTGTACTCTGTTGACGAAAAATGTTCTGATTTCAGATCAACTAGCAAACCTTCCTGCAAATCTATAGCTGCGACCTCATCCTCATTCACGCGGGACAGGGAGTCTGGCAATGATGTGCAGCGATCCTTTCCTATGTTCGATGCTAAATTGGAATCTTTGTAAAGCTATTGCCCATCTCCCCAGACGTGAACTTAAGTCCCTATTCGACATTAGCCACTTAAGGAAGCGTGGTCGGTGACTATTTTAAGAAGGGTGCCCTCGACATAGGCTCTGTACTGTTTGAGAGCTACAATAGCGGCCAGGCATTCCTGTTCGGTCACCGTATAGTTTCGTTGGGCTTTATTTAACTTTTTAGAAACAAATGCCACTGGTCTCTCGTCCCCATCGTCAGTCTCCTGAACTAGCACAGCTCCAACGCCAGTCTTGCTAGCGTCGCAATGAATGGCGAACGGCTTGTTGAAATCCGGATTGCATAACACAGGCGCTTCGCAAAGTCGTCCTTTTAGCACTTCGAAAGCTTTCAGCGCTTCCGGAGTCATACTGAATCTTCGCTTCGTCGTCATTAGATCAGTTAGTGGAGCGGACATGTGGTTTCAAAAAGTTCGGCTGCGGATTTGATTTCGTTTTTGCAAAGTTGGCAACCTAGTTTTGGCGCTTCTTGAGAGCCACGGTCGGGTGATCTATCCAAGCCCATCATGACTAAGTAATGTTTATAGTTTGTAAAAAATTTTTTTTTCTTCCCTATTCCCTAATAATCTATCCTAACCTCTGTTAAATCGAAAAAGTACGAAATGGTACAACTAACTGAACTTCGCTTCTGATATCCTCGAATGTCGGGGGAAATTTAACTTTTAATCGAATCTCTCAAATGATTTTTTTGAAATAGGCCCTGAAAACTTAAGGTTTCTAGGCGGCTGAGCTGTTTAGGGAGAGTAGTAATTCTTTCACTTATGTTGCATCGGACCCAATACGATGTAGAACCGATCTTTGTGGTTTTCCTGATGCATCACAACCAAAATGTTTACCCTCTCAGAAAAGGAGAGAAATTAGGCTTTCCCGGAAGTCACACGTGGTTAGGACATCTATCTGTTAGAACGTCTCTATATTCCTATTCGTATGAGCCTCTAGGCAAGCTTCTAATTGATTAGGAGGGTACCTCAGTAACAGGTCAGAGACAAAACCGAAGTTTGTTGTTCTCTGAGATCCTTGCACTGAGTTCCATGACAGATGACAGATAGGCAAATCTCTGCTCCTGAAATGAATTTCGGACTCTCAGAACACCAGAGTCTTCTGATATAAGTTTCTCGAACAACTCAAAGTCAAGAGAAGCAAATTTGTTGAAAATTGGAAAAAAAAGTAATACAGATTTCGAATCTAATGATCGTTGAGTTTCTGTGGGAGTTATCCTTATTTTTGTCCTTAGGAAGGCCTCCACGTGTGGCGCCACTTATTTCCTAAATTATTATTATCTAATAATATAATATTATTACTGTAACGTGCAACGGGGTATGGACTGAGGAAGGACCTGTGCTCGCGGGCACGCTGAAAGGTTCCGGCTCTAGCTCGTCGGCTTGGGGGGTGGTGGTCTTGCTGGGACAGGTCCTTCCGAAGTAGCAACGTCGGATAATAGTAATTAGGCATGTAAGAAAGGTTGCGTGCTGCGACAGAGAGAGGTATTTAATCTCCGCTAGAGATCTAAGCCGGTATTCACGATCGTAAGATTCGAAAGAAAAATTGGAAACAGGACAGATTTGAGATTCGAGAGATTCCAGGAAGGATCACTGCTGTTGGTGTGTCCTTTTCTCCAAATTCCCCAACCCTACCATGGCCACTGCAAAAGAGTGTTACTCTCGTGGCCCCTTTTCCCCCTCTACACCCGAGGACTCATTGGCGAAGTTCTTCAGTTAAGTTTAAAGTAACATTTTATTTATCATAATCTCATTTAAATTTCTTATACAACATGGTTATATTTTACAAAGTATCCTTTCCTAAAGTATCGTAGTATTTTCCTATCAATTTTACAAAGTATTCTTTCCTAAAGTACGTAGTATTTATCCTATTAATTTTACAAAGCATTGAAGAAAATTACCAATCCTAAGAAAAATTTCTTATTTATTTATTTAGGTAGTGTAATTATTAATATTGAATTTTCTAATAATGTATTTGTATTTTTTTGTATTATACTAAATCCCTACATAATTTTTTTTGTAATAAATTTAGGCTGTACGGTTGTTTATCGTTTAGGGAAATTAATGTGTTCAACACAAAAAAAATTTTCAGTGTGGTTTGTTATCTAAAGTTGAGCGTACAGTGGGAAAAATAAAAGGAAAACTAAACATAAAAATTCGTAATAAATTGACTTCATATTATGGCGGTTAAATTTCAATATCTTCTTCTTTCTTTAATGTCAATGGAAAATTTCTGACTTACGATTCTCCTCGGCGAAAAGGTCGACCTCTTGGCGTTGGTGGCTGTAGGCGGGTATTAGATGTTATGTTTCAAATTATTGAGAAATTTTCCATTTTTTTTTTTTTTTTGTAATGCATCAAATTATAAATTTTTAAATTTCATTTATCTTTTCATTTCTTTTTCATTTATTTTTATTTATTTATTTTTTTTTTTTTTTGTTAAAAAAAATTCAGATCAATACCACTGTACTTTCTTTTGTATTTCACTCCAACCAACAAAAAAGGAAAAAAAATCGAACTGCACTTATTGCTTTTGCTCTCCTATTCCGTCACTCGTATTCTTCCAATTATTCTTTCTTCTTCTTCTTTTCCCCGTTAGGGCACTTAACATCCAAAAAATAATACAAAAAAATATATGCTAACAATAAATTCACTAAAAATTAATGATGGCTTAAAATTTTTATTTAAATTATTTTGCTTAAATTTTTCTAAAAATTTTCTTTTTCATTAAACTTAATATTTCTTCATTTTATTTCTTTTCACTAACACTAGCGTCAACTTAAACTCAATTAACTGTTTCTTAATTCACTCTTTTCCTTTTCATATTTCCTCTATTAATAATTTTTCTCTTTTCAAACTTAAACTTTTTCTAATTCCATGATCTTGGTTTTTTTTCTTTTTTTGTTCACCACGAGGTCTCTTTCACATTTTTTCCGCTTTTTGTCCACTAAATTTTGTTCGTTTTCATTCTTTCTCTTTTTGCTTGCTCCTTCTGCGCTGATCACGTGGTGGATTTTTTCTCCTTCTTGGTCCGAGCTTCTCCTTCTGCGCTGATCACGTGGTGGATTTTTTCTCGTTCTTGGTCCGAGCTCCGGATCTCCTCGGTCGCTCTCCCTTCGGTTTTCCTCTCCTCTCCGTCGTTCCTCCTTTTCTCGCTGGTCCGGCGGTCCCACGTGGATTTCTCTCTCTCTCTCTCTCTCTCTCGCTCTTTACGTGCGGGACTCCGGGTAGATTTTCCGTGGCGAGGCCCGCTTTCCCAAGGGGTTTTTTCCCCGAGAGGATCTCTTCAGGGTTGCGGGAAAACGTGGGCCCCGTGCGTCCGGGTTCTCGTGCTCCTGGCCAAATTTGCAGAGTGGTCGGGATCGGATTAACGGGTTTAGGCGCTCTGGTCCGGCGCCGCGTGACCGCGTGTTCCTGAGCCACTTTTGTGGCTGCTGCAGGTTAGCCACTTTAACTCCGAAGATTCCGCGGTTCCGTTTGGCAGTTACCTTTACAGTTTCGGCTTTTCCGAGCCCGATGCCGCGATTGTGCGACCGCGTGCCAAAATTAACCCGCGTGGAAAACGGTCTCAGAAAAAAAAGGAAGGGTTTTAATTTTTGCTCTTTGCACGTCCGACTTGTCGCGAGTTCCAAATTGAAAAGACCGGCTGCCTTCTCCCACGCCATTTCTTAACCCTCTTTAGAGTGACCAGTCCAGATCAATTCGCGATCCGCTGGCCGATGATTCGCCTACGTGGCATCTCTAGATAAATGGGATATTTTTGCTTATTTATCG